CTCTGAGTGGGTGAGACAGTTGATTGGCTTGATCTGTTTGGGAGGCATCCAGGCAGTGGGACCGGGTCCTGTGCTCATTGCATGAGTTGGCTGTTTGAAACCTGGGGCCTATGCAGGATTGCTTGGCTCCGCCTGGGAGGAGGGGACTGGACCTACCTGGACTGAGTCTACCAGGTTGATCTCAGTCTGTGGGGAAGGCTTTGCCCTGGAGGAGATGGGAATGGGGGGGGGGGGGGCTGGGGGGAAGGTGAGGGGGACGGGAGGGGGGAGAAAAAGGGAATCCGTGGCTGATATGTAGAACTGAATTGTATAGCAAAATAAAAAAACAACAACAACAACAACAAAAAAAAAACCCCTCAATCTTTATACATTGTATCACCCTAAAAATTAATTCTAATGGATTAAACACATAAATGTAAAAAACATCAAAATATAGGATAAAAAAACCCACAGAAAAAAATGTTTGAGTTTGAAAATATTCTTAGAATGCAAAAAACAAACAAACAAACAAAAAACAAACAAAACCCCAAAACCAAAACTACCTTAAAAATGCTGCCAGTTTAAGAGTGTAGTCCCTGGTAAATGGACTACACCCCTGTGGAAGTCTACATCCAAGAATATATGGGCAGCACAAACTAGACTTAATGGGTTAAAACAAAACCAAACAACTAAACTAAAAAGAGGGCACCGAAGCTGGATGGGTAGAGAGAGTATGGGAGTAGGGGTGGAAATGGGAGGAATCGGAGAAGAGGTGAATATGATCTATGATCAAAACACATTGCATGAAATTCTCAAATAACTAGTAGAAAAAAATGGCATGACTGAGTTTAAGAGGACAAATAAAACCACGGAGTCTATGACTATCTTCATAAAAGTGCTGACAAACTCATCAAATGTTAGCATAACTTACACTTACTAGAGTAAATTAAACTGACAATGCCAAATGTGAGCAAGGATAAGGAACAATTAGGAGATCATAGTTTGCTGATAAGAATGAAAAATAATACAACAACTTTGGGAAAAAGTGAAAGTTCCTTACAAAGTTAATTGCATAACTATACTATAATGTAGCAATTCTACCCTGTAGATGTATGTATGCAAAAGAAAGGATACTAAACCATATAAATATTTATTACTTAAAACAGTTCAAAACCAGAAATAGGTTTTATATCCAAAATGGGTGAACAAAGTTATAAATCAAAATGTTGCTTTGATTAAAAACAACAATAACATAAAACTATATATACAAGGAATGACAACAAAACAGGCTGAAGAAATCAGACCAAAAGAAAGAATATATTATATTATGTTGTTTCTATTATATGAAAACCAAAATATATATGCTGTTTCTAAGGAAAACCAAAACCAGGAATCAGCTTGTGGAGACTAATAAATACATCAATATTGGCTTCTATCTTATTGAACTAGTCATCTTGGAGATGGAGAAAGGGATCTTACAAAAGCATTTAACAAGTACAACAGGCCTGGAGAGATGGCTCAGAGGTTAAGAGCACCGACTGCTTTTCCAGAGGTCGAGTTCAATTCCCAGCAACCACATGGTGGCTCACAACCCATCTGTAATGAGATCTGGCACCCTCTTCTGTGTACATAATAAATAAATCTAAAAAAAAAACCAAAACAAAACAAAAAAACAAACAAAAAAACAAAATAAGTACAAGAGAGCCTCAACTCGATTCACTACATATAGACATCTTTTAAATTTTATGCATCCATACACAGACATTTCAAATCACATACATGCACACACGCACAGGCCTTGTAAAATTGCCTTCTAACTATCAAGTACTTTCAATAAAAGAAAGAATCTGGCTATAGAATGAAGGTGGTAGGAGGTAGTGTTCCTCAGTCAGTGTACATAGCTTTTGCTGGGCCAAATGTACCCTTCTTTGATATCTGGGAGAATGGAGTTTCTTCATCAAAAGGGAACAAGATTATCCCATTACATTTCAATCCCTTACTTCCTCTCCACTTAGGCATTCTTGCTAAAAGATCATCTAGGATAATACTAAATGATGATGGCTATTATTTGACTGACAGAATAAATCCTTTATTATACCTCAGTTTTTTGATTAATTCAAACAAATACCTGGTCTTTTTAACAAACCTAACAAATATGAGGAAAGGATTTACAATGCTAATCAAAAGGACTTTTATGTTCAGTTGACTTATAGCTTCAATTCTGAGACTGAGCTTCATAATTAAGACCTTTCTGTGTGTGGATCAAGGGGTTATGTAAGGAGCTGGCTAGAGGTTTTATTTAGGCTATTTCTCATGAATCTGGAATTTGACATTTCAGTTAGACTGTTCTGCCCTTGGGTTCTGGGTTGGAGGCACATGATGGCATGTTTAATTTTTGACTTGAGTACTATGTATCCACCTTTGGGAACTCATGCTTGTGTAGGAAGCACTTCACCCACTGAGTCATCTCAGCTCAAACTGAGACTTTTCTGAACGAGCAATGAAAATATTTTATACTGATATCATTTTATTTTCTCTCTATGGGTACTTAGACTGTGCACCATGTGAGTGCGGTACATGACGAGGCCAGAAAAAGGCACTGAATGTCCTAGAACTGAAGTTACACGTTTGTGAATCACCACGTGAGTGCTGGGAATCAAACCTGCATCATCTGGAAGAGCAGCCAGTGTTCTTAACTGCTTAATCACTTCTCCATCCCGATTTTTTTTTTTAAAATAATCATTCTAAGAAAAGATATGTCATTCTAAGTGCTGGATAGTTCCTAGTAACTTTATTGCCAGATATAAGAAAGTATAGTAATTAATTAGATAAAAATTATGTATGAATCTGTACTTCAAATATTGAGGTTATTCTAATGCAATTGTAAAAAAAAACACATAAAACATCAGGAATAAATTAGCCACTGATATTTATCTTTACTAAATATGTAAGAAAATCAGCATTAAAAACTGGTAAAACTGTCCCCAGGAAAATAGTCATTTAACACACAGAGGTTTTTCATAGCACTTCTAAGATGTTTTAACATTCTGAAAAAAAAAAAAAAAAAACTATTTCAAAAACTTCTTCAATCAGTTCAAAATACCCTAAACTTGTGACTATCATTTTAGTGCACTTCTGTGACTGTCCTGGGAACTGAATTCAGGGCCTTGTGTTTGCTAGGTAAACACTATAACTGAGCTCAGCCACATGCTTGTTATTTTAAAACATGTACAAGCAGTCAGATGAATATAAACATAAACTCTCAGAGAAGGAAAAGAAAGATCTACCCCAACCATGAACCTACCTTCACTGGAATCAACAGATTCTTTCTCCTTTCCTTCCTGGCCTCCATTTACCCCTGTTAAGATTTACCCTTTAGATCTGGGTCCTCAAAGGTCCTAATGTCACAATAAGAGTATCACTAATAAGCTGTCTTCAGTGGTGAATAGTAAAAAAATTTAAGACACAGGTCCCAACCTAACATAAAAAAGTACATATCACACCTGTGATTATCTCCAGGTTTGGCATGTGATCATTCCTTGGCCACCAAAGTAGTTATAGACAATCTTAAAGTATAACAATATAGACAGGTTGTGTAATTAATGACACTGGCACAGTGTACAGAATTATTATTAATATGGGGAAAAGTTGGTTCCTATAATTATCCATCTGGTTAGACAGATTTCATCTAATAGCTTTTAGAGACATTGGTGGCTGAGAAAATTAAGAGAGGCACATATCATGTCAAAAGGGTAAAGATATACACATCCAGTTACACACAAACATAAACTGGTGGCACACAGCAAGAAGATACCCTCAAAAGGGCACTCTAAAGGACTTTAATAACAAAGGGAAAATATATTACTTGGCCTTGGTTGAATCATATCCCTGATATATATCTGCAAACATAAATTAAGATAGTTGATCACAAGTCATATGCTTTTTTCCTTGAATTTTACCTACATAATAATATCACTGACTTTTAGTCAGGTCATTATAGAAAAGGATCTTGGATCTAGATTAGAATTTATTATGCTAAAAAAAACAGGGAGAATAAATATAATGACTAGTTATATTTATTCAAGATTGCTTATTGAAATGAAGAACAAACTTGGATTTCTAACAGGCCTAGAAAAATCAGCAAACTGTTATAACAACTGTCTCATGCAGAATTTGCTCAAAGAAAGAAATATGGGAAGTTGAGAACCACAAACAAGGATCTTTCCACAATTAATTACAAACAAGACCAGCTGGGGTTGGCTCACAGCACACCCTGATGCTGTGGGCCAATCAATTTCTGCCCAGGCTCCTTTCCTCCTGCCCTTCTCCCCAAAACTTAGACGCAAACAATCAAGACTTCACACTTAGTACTAAGAATCAAGAACTTTCTTTGGAAATAGTCATTTCCAAACTTTGTTTATAGAGTTAAAGAGTATACATCTATATTTTGCTATTTTATTAAACATAGGGACTCACTCTAGCCCAGAACAGTCTTGGACTAATGGCAATTCTTCTGCTTTGGCTTCTCAAATGCTTGGATTACTGATTCATCATGTGTAGCAAGAAAGCAATTTTTAATAAAAAGAACTTCACGAAAGGTACTTTCAATAGCCCCTTTGTATATAAAATGTTGATAACTGATAACTTTGGATTAATTAACCCAATCCAATCACTAGAAAAATAGCAATTCTATATACACTGTACATCCTGGTTGTAGGTTCTTCAAATAAATAAGCCAACAGTAACATCTATTTTCAAAAACTATCAACTAACCTGTAATCCCTATACTTGAGAAGTAGAGGCAGGAATTCAAGGCTAATGTGGGTGACAAGAGACCTTGTTTCAAAGAGCATAAAAAAAAACCCACCAGAACACAGACAAACAAAATCCATACAATACTTCAGATGGTTGAGCTAGCTTTCCTTGGTTTTCTTGTTTGTTTGCTTCTATAATCTAGTACACTCAATCAGCAAAGATATTGAACAAAATAGTAAGGAAAACAATAGAGTGGTAATTCAGAAAGTGTATGGAGGGGAACGATCAGACTTAGCCAGCTGTCCTAAATCAGACAGAGACTTCCATGTTCATGTAGGATCACTGCCTTCTGCAGACAAAAGGTATTTTCTCCTTTGTCTACAGGCTTGACGCCACAGCTTCCACTGTTAGTGCGTTTTATATTAATATGACATTTGTTAGTCCTTTTATATTCTAATTCTTTATGTACTTTTATATTATTCCAATTTCTAACTGCTTTCTCATTTAGACACATCTTAATACATTAAAACAAGTTAATGACAAAAATCAGGATCCAGATAACAGAAAAGAACCATTAAAAAGGCATATTTATCAAGCAAAGGCAAAGGCAGCTAGTCAGGGAGAAAAACTCTAAAAGTATGTACTGTACAGGAAAGAAGGATGGAGATACACAGACACATACAGATACACCTCAGTCATTCCAATGTTAAGTGGCCCATATCACTTAATTATCTTTGCTACTCAAGATATCTACAGACACTTTCAAGTTCTATCACATGCCAAACTCTCATACTTGACAATATCTTGAATAAGATTGACAATACTGTATCCACAATGATATTTACGACAAGGAAATGATTTTGTACTGCTGATGAATATTAAAAACTTGAGAGAACTACACTTCTTTCTTTAAAAAGTGATTTATTTATATGGATGTGTACTTTGCTGCATGTGTTTATATGCACCATGTGCCTGCAGAGGCCAGAAAACATCCAGCAAAGGGTGCAGTGGGGTGGAGTGCGAGATGAGGAGCTACTGACAGCTGATGACTTCTGGAGGAGGGAAAGTCAGTTTTCTTTAAGAGTGTGGCCGCTGGTAGGCCAACTGTCTAGTGGATGATCCCACACCCATGAGCATATACAGCCAACATAACTAGAGTGGAAGAGGTTTGTTTTTTAAGGATATCAAATTTAGAGAAGATGGGATGAGGGGCAGAGGTCTGGGAGCAGTCAGGGGGAAGGAGGGGAGATTGATTGTGATCAAAGATAAAAATGTATGATATTCTCAAAGAATAAAAATAATATTTAGTAAAAATTCACTTTAGATCCAGGTTATACATAATGCCTTCTTAAATAATACTTATTTTTTCACTAGAAAAGGCAGAATTCAAAACAACAAAGCAAACAGTTAAAGATCCATGTTAATTCTATTAGTTAAAATTGGAATACATAGAACAAGAAAAAATTGAGTTATTTTATTACGTCAAATTTATTACAGTAAACATAAAAATGTCAATAATGAAGTACTTTAAATGTCAAGCAATAGACTGTAATTTGTTGATTTCCTTACCACAGTCACTATAAAATCTAAAGCAACAAATGATTTTGCTAAGTTGGTCCATATAATACTAGTCAGTGAACTAAGGAAAATCTATACCTCAAACAATTTCCTGAGAAAAAACTAACAGCATTCATTGCCTTAGTTTTCTGTCTCTACCTTTCTATATCCTGGATACTAGAGAAGAACTTCACACTCACAATCTTCTTTTACTCTCAACACAAAGAAAGATTTCATTCAGACTGGCCCTCTTCCTGACAGTCAGCACAATTTCCTAAAATGTTACAACCACCTAGCTAAAGGAAAGAAAAAAGGAAGACACAAGATAAAGAGAAACAGCTGAAGAAAGCGGGGAAGAGAAGCTCCTCTACTATATATTTACTGAAGAATTCTGAAGCAGCAGCATGTGGGAAGTTTTCTGTCATGTATGATTATATACACACATATATAAGATTTATAGACATATATGGTCTGTGTATACCAGCCTTGAGGTCTCTTAATCCTGCTACCTCAGCCTTCTGAGTGCTAGGATTAAAGATGTGGACCACCAAGCCTAGTGAATATATTTCAAAGATGGTAAGATGGTACTTTCTTTTTTTTTTTTTGGTTTTTCGAGACAGGGTTTCTCTGTGTAGCTTTGCGCCTTTCCTGGGACTCACTTGGTAGCCCGGGCTGGCCTCGAACTCACAGAGATCCGCCTGGCTCTGCCTCCCGAGTGCTGGGATTAAAGGCGTGCGCCACCACCGCCCGGCCAGTACTTTCTTTTTTTTATTGAAGAAAAAGACAATATAACCTGTTTTGCTTCTCTCTAAACTGAGTGAAGTAGCAAAATCTAAGACATGGTCATGATTTCCTCTAGCCAGTGCTTACAAATCACTTAGATCTCTTGGTTGATATGTGTAACATGATAATTTCTCAGAGCTTGTATGACTTCTTGTTTCCAGGCTTGACTGTTCATCTATCATTTCCCATGAAGCCTTGGGGAACTTTGCAGAATATAGATCTCTACCTTTGTTGTTTTCTTCTTGAATTATGTATTAAGAGTCTAAAACTGGAATTGTCTTGTTTCTGATTTTGAGAGATTTCCAAATTGCAATAATCAATCAGAATTGAGAAGCATTGGTATAAGCTTTGCCATAGCCTGCGTTTGCAGTTTAATGAAAGCAGAGTGGCTTATAGCAGTACAAGGTTTCTCAATGTGCTTCAACAGGACAATGATGTGAGGCTTTGCATAAAACATGCCCACCTATTAGAAAAATCTCATATGTAAACAAATTACACATTGCGAGGGGTACTTTGAAAGTCAAAGTTGTTCACCAAATGACTACACAGCCCCTACTGCATGTCAGACACTTATAAACACATCACACACACCTCCTGACTTTCAAATTCTAACCATTCTAACCAGGTTGCCACTGTTACCAGCACTTTAAAAATGAGTATACTGGAGAGATTAAATCCTAGCCACAAGTTCAGAGCACATAAATTGGAACTCAAGAGATGTGAACCTAGGAAAGCTGGCTCCAGAGCCTGTGATCTTACAACTTTACAAACCATTTGACAAGGAGCCTGCAGGTTAAAGGGCAATCAAACAACAATACACGAACATCCTCCACACACACCAACACCTCATTAAACAGTATTTTTAAAAAAAATCACAAGAAACTTGGGTATGAAAACATACCTTTCAGTTTTTAATTATATAACAAAAGTCTAATTGACTAGAAATAAGAATAATAGGAATATAATACATTATATGACTAAAAAGGAAGGTGCTCTCATCTCATACGGACATACCTTCACACAGAATGGATGGCAAGTTTCCAAGTCATGACTTACTATATTTTGTCTCAAACAAGGAAAGTTGTTATCTTATCCTCATCTAGAGCTACTGAAACTTTAGAGATAATTTTTGATAAATAGCTTAACGCAAAATACCCCAACTTCACTTCTCTGCCATTAATGCTTTTCCTGAGGACTTTTTTCTGGGCTATTTTGGAAGAGATAGGTATCTTAAAGGTCCATTAGTGTAGCATGAATTTTAAATGGTCTTATTAATAAAATCAAACCTGAAGTCAGGTATTGGGGTGAACGTTAAATGATCAGAGAAGCAAAACATGCCACAGCTTCCTCACTTTGCCAATTCCTCAGCTGATCCTGTTTCCTCAGACTGGAAGCTTCTGTGTCCTCATCCAAATAGATCCCAGCTGAACATGCTGCTCTAAAGCCTAAAAGCTTAAACAGCTCTAGTTCCTGGTTTTTCACGCCTTATATACCTTTCTGCTTTCTGCCATCAGTTCCTGGGATTAAAGGTGTGAGTCACCATGCCTAGCTGTTTCCAGTGTGGCCTTGAACTCAGAGATCTAGGTGGATCTCTGCCTCTGGAATGCTAGGATTAAAGGTGTGTGTGCCACTATTTTCTGGCCTCTATATCTAGTGGCTGTTCTGTTCTCTGACCCCAGATAAGTTTATTAGGGTGCACAGTATTTTGGGGAACACAATATCACCACACATTAGAGGAATTTCTTTTGATCATCAACTGCTATTTTGGATAAGGGACTAGATAATATGGATGATGGTTTGATTGAGAGAAGGAGAATACAAGCATGAGAGTATGTGGGGAAAAAATCCGTATCTTGTTACACAGACACGATCACTTTGAAATAGATACTCCTGTACCTGAAACAACTTAAAAATCTTTCCAGAAGGTTCAAATAGGAGTTATATCAGAGAAAGATGTACATGTAGTTTTCGTTACCTGATTCCAGTCTTTCAATAATACAATGTTAACACAAAAAGACATGACATCATTTGGGCATCGTGGAGGATTCCTGTAATCACAGTATACTGGAATAGGAGCTAGAAGAGTGCCAGTTTGTGGCCAGCTTAGGATACCTAGTGAGATCCTGTCTCAACAAGCAAAACAAAAGTAATGAGATGTATCCCTTGCATCGGAGATCTGTTTGGCTCTCTCTAACAATATTATTTAACTTTTTCTTTTAATTAAAATATAACAACTTTATATTTTAACTAAAATTTTATTTTTAGTCCTATATTCCTCCGCTCCCTTGCCCCCTGCATGCCCCCTTTTTCTTTACACACACACAACACACACACACACACACACACACACACACACACACACACACACACACACACACAACCTGCTAAGACAATCTCATGTTGCTTATGTATGTATATGATTTTAGGGCTGACCCCCTGGTACAGGATAATTAATTAGGGGGCTCATCTCTGGTGAAGATTAATTCCCTTTCTTTCTCAGAAGTCATTAATTACCAGTAGCTCCTCATGATATTTCCTCCATTTACATAGATGTATCAATTGGTGTTATCATCTAGTACCATTTTACTTTCAGGTTATTATTGTTTTACTCAGTATAGTTGCTGATGGTGTATATAAAGGCTTCTGTATCCTGCCACTTTGCTAGAAATGTGGATTGCTTCTAGAGCTCTAGTGGAAGTTTTGGAATCCCTTACGTGCAAATCTCATCTGCAAATAGGAATAATCTGACTTCTTTCCCTACTTATATCCCTAATTTCCTTCTCTTGACTCACTGATTTGAGCACTATGTTGAAAAGGAGGGAGAGTAGTGGACAGCCCTCTCGTTCCTGATATTAATGGGATTGCTTGAGTTTTTCTCCATTTAGGGGAATGTTGTCTGTTAGTTTGTCATATAAACTATTATATTATGTTGTTGTTCTCTCCCATCCTACTCTCTCTTGAACTTTAAACATGAAGGCATTTTAGATTTTGTCAGAGGCTTTTTATATGTCTATTAACATATCATGGGGTTTTGTGTGTGTGTTCAGGCCCATTTATATGAATTTT